ACATGGCCATAAGTCACTGCAGTTTTAGTAAACCTGCACCAATTTCTGTAATCATATTAATAATAATCAACCAATATTATTCCAGAGTCGAGGCGATACAGATTATCGTCCGCCTTACGCACAAATTGCAGATAACCAGTGCGTATATTCTGTGTCACAGAAAACCTGGGCACAGCAGACTGCCACAAAATGGCTGGGATAGCTTACCCTCGAGATAAAACGCACATAGACACTGCAACGATCCCACACAAAAGGAGGGTCCACCGCCGAGGAAGGCGGCAAACCATCGGGACCCCTTGCTACTCCTACCACAGGAGGGACTCAGCCCATAAGGGTTACCGTGTCTGTGGACCAAAGATGTTGGCCTCTCTACCGGCCTGGGGCTGGGGGGTGAACATACCTCGCTCTCAACGTGCCGCCACCTATGACCACTGCCCTGCTCCATGGATCACAAACAGAGAGCGGAGTACTCCCTGCAGGGGCTGTTACGGGGCCCAGCCTGATGGATTCAGCTGCAACCTCCAAGCTGTGCCCAGTCAAGGAATTGGGTGAAGTACTTATGAGAGGGCGACTGTCTGATACCAAGTTGCCGAACATCTGATACTCCAGCGGACGACAAGACACTAACTATATAACATACTTACCATAGCATAATATAAGAGGTGCACCTCACCTGACTACTAATTTGGCTATATGATTCAACTCATGTTTCCTATCTATGTTTAAGCCCTTGCTTTACTCACCTCAGCCTTGGCAGAGCAGTGCAGACACCAGTGGATTGTTAAACTCTTCTACCCTAGCAAATGTGTGTACATCAATATAAAGTTCTTATAACTAATATGTAGGCTACACAACACATAACTGACTACTCGTGATCTACCTAACTCTAAACGTCAACTCACTTAGTATATCTAGTATACTACTCACCACGTCTAGCATCTTTAGATTTTTATTTAGCGTTAAACTGCTGAGACCTACAAATAGACGTGTATACATAGCTTGTTTATAATTACATATAAAAATGTGCTGCTACATACATGCCATGTATGGGAAAAGCTGTGTTCTAATATTGCTTACATATGCTGCTGTGGCATTGTCAAATGTTGTTACCTCATGCACAAAGAAAAATAAAGAATTGAAGGGGGGGTAAAAGCAACAATGTAAAAAACAAATCTGGCATTAACTGAGCATGCTGACTGCAATCACACTCCTCCTACTCTCAAGCAGCCAGGACTTGCTGTGATCAGTGAGAGTCTGATCGGAGTTTCTATGTGTGTTTTTTTTACATTGACACCTCTTCTTTGGGGTATGGTTGTAATGCCTCCTAAACAAAACACAAAGTTCAGATTATAATGTTATTTGGGCAATATTTTACAGTCTCTTTTGCATTTTCACCACCCAATTTTTTTTTTGGTCTACAATCTTTTCTAGCCAGCTGTTAATGTCTTGCCACGTCATCATGCAGCCTGACTACTAAATGAAATGAAAACATATTGTCACTAGGTGGTGCTATTATCTTGTGTTTCTAGCACAGTTGTACTTGATTTAGCTAACTGTAACACTGAAACTGATTTTCTGAGGAATTGCAGGCTTTAATGGACTGTTATATAAATTTGTATTTTAAAAATATAAATTCAGGCACATGTATAATTCAGAAGAAAATGTGGTACTTGAAGTGTACCTATCGTACATTAACTGCTCTGCACAGTGAATCCCTCTGTATACTGACTCACTGCTCTGCACAGAGAATCCCTCTGTATAGTGATTCACTGCTCTGCACAGAGAATCCTTCTGTATATTAACACACTGCTCTGCACAGTGCATCCCACTGTATACTGACACACTGCTCTGCACAGATAATCCCTCTGTATACTGATACACTGCTCTGCACAGAGAATCCCTCTGTATACTGACTCACTGCTCTGCACTGAGAATCCATCTTTATACTGACTCACTGCTCTGCACTGAGAATCCCTCTGTATACTGACTCACTGCTCTGCACAGAGAATCCCTCTGTATACTGACTCACTGCTCTGCACAGATAATCCCTCTGTATAGTGATTCACTGCTCTGCACAGAGAATCCTTCTGTATATTAACACACTGCTCTGCACAGAGAATCCCTCTGTATACTGATACACTGTTTTGCACAGAGAATCCCTCTGTATACTGACTCACTGCTCTGCACTGAGAATCCCTCTTTATACTGACTCACTGCTCTGCACAGAGAATCCTTCTGTATACTGACTCACTGCTCTGCACAGAGAATCCTTCTGTATACTGACTCACTGCTCTGCACAGAGAATCCCTCTGTATACTGACTCACTGCTCTGCACAGAGAATCCCTCTGTATACTGACTCACTGCTCTGCACAGAGAATCCCTCTGTATACTGACTCACTGCTCTGCACAGAGAATCCCTCTGTATACTGACTCACTGCTCTGCACAGAGAGTCCCTCTGTATAGTGATTCACTGCTCTGCACAGAGAATCCTTCTGTATATTAACACACTGCTCTGCACAGAGAATCCCTCTGTATACTGATACACTGCTCTGCACAGAGAATCCTTCTGTATACTGACTCACTGCTCTGCACAGAGAATCCCTCTGTATACTGACTCACTGCTCTGCACTGAGAATCCCTCTTTATACTGACTCACTGCTCTGCACAGAGAATCCTTCTGTATACTGACTCACTGCTCTGCACAGAGAATCCTTCTGTATACTGACTCACTGCTCTGCACAGAGAATCCCTCTGTATACTGACTCACTGCTCTGCACAGAGAATCCCTCTGTATACTGACTCACTGCTCTGCACTGAGAATCCCTCTTTATACTGACTCACTGCTCTGCACAGAGAATCCCTCTGTATACTGACTCACTGCTCTGCACAGAGAATCCCTCTGTATACTGACTCACTGCTCTGCACAGAGAATCCCTCTGTATACTGACTCACTGCTCTGCACAGAGAATCCCTCTGTATACTGACTCACTGCTCTGCACAGAGAATCCCTCTGTATACTGACTCACTGCTCTGCACAGAGAGTCCCTCTGTATAGTGATTCACTGCTCTGCACAGAGAATCCTTCTGTATATTAACACACTGCTCTGCACAGAGAATCCCTCTGTATACTGATACACTGCTCTGCACAGAGAATCCTTCTGTATACTGACTCACTGCTCTGCACAGAGAATCCCTCTGTATACTGACTCACTGCTCTGCACTGAGAATCCCTCTTTATACTGACTCACTGCTCTGCACAGAGAATCCTTCTGTATACTGACTCACTGCTCTGCACAGAGAATCCTTCTGTATACTGACTCACTGCTCTGCACAGAGAATCCCTCTGTATACTGACTCACTGCTCTGCACAGAGAATCCCTCTGTATACTGACTCACTGCTCTGCACTGAGAATCCCTCTTTATACTGACTCACTGCTCTGCACAGAGAATCCCTCTGTATACTGACTCACTGCTCTGCACTGAGAATCCCTCTTTATACTGACTCACTGCTCTGCACTGAGAATCCCTCTGTATACTGACTCACTGCTCTGCACAGAGAATCCCTCTGTATACTGACTCACTGCTCTGCACAGATAATCCCTCTGTATAGTGATTCACTGCTCTGCACAGAGAATCCTTCTGTATATTAACACACTGCTCTGCACAGAGAATCCCTCTGTATACTGATACACTGCTCTGCACAGAGAATCCTTCTGTATACTGACTCACTGCTCTGCACAGAGAATCCCTCTGTATACTGACTCACTGCTCTGCACTGAGAATCCCTCTTTATACTGACTCACTGCTCTGCACAGAGAATCCCTCTGTATACTGACTCACTGCTCTGCACTGAGAATCCCTCTTTATACTGACTCACTTCTCTGCACTGAGAATCCCTCTTTATACTGACTCACTGCTCTGCACTGAGAATCCCTCTGTATACTGACTCACTGCTCTGCACAGAGAATCCCTCTGTATACTGATGCACTGCTCTGCACAGAGAATCCCTCTGTATACTGATGCACTGCTCTGCACAGAGAATCCCTTTGTATACTGACTCACTGCTCTGCACAGTGAATAACTGTATACAGACGCATACTACTCTGCACAGTGAATAACTGTATCCACTGTCACGCATGTAATTTCTCATGCATGGCCAGAGTAAGTTAAACTAGGATGGGTGAATGCTGAAGAAACTCCTCTAGTTGAGAGGTGTGACCAAGTTTATAGTATGTTTATAAACATTTAATACATACTTTTCAAAGTTTTTCTTGGTTTATTTTGGTTTGTATATATGTTCAAAAGGGCTTACTTGCCAGTTTAAACATTTTTTTTTTAAGTGATTATCCCTTTAAGTGTAAAAAAAAAATCTAATGCGCTAGGATAATTGTAGAATATTTAAATGTAAGAATGTTGTTCATTCTCTGACCCATTGATAGATTCTTAGCTTACAGGTTTATAATGAGCGCAACGACAAGGTTCAAGTAAATGATTCCTTTGCCAAAACATTTGGGTAATTTGTTACAATAACTGTAATATCTATTGTACATGTAGGCTTCTAAATTTAAGATGAAAATATATGTAATGATTTGTGCTTTCTAGAATTGTTTAGCAGCTAGAGATTGTTGCATTGTTGAGTTTCATCAAAACACTGACACTTTCTCCTTGATTGTGCTGCATTACACATTTCTGCAATCAAAATCTAATTGGCTTTGTGTGTGTTTTTGATTTAGATGGCGATCTCATAACTATTTTTGACAGCTCTGATCTATCATTTGCTATACAGTGCAGTAGAATACTCAAGCTAACTCTTTTTGGTAAGTAATGTGAGAAGACTTCTGCTTTTTCTTTTGACGAGTGACATTATACATATTACAAAATACTTGAATGTACATGCATATTTTAACAATGATCCTTTCCTTAATTTTTACCTGGCGGCGTGTCCAGCCTTTTCTGGTACTATACATTTTTATCCTGTTAACCTTCTCGCATTCCTATGGTAAAGCCACTCCGTTAACTCCTAAAATAAAACAGAACTGAACATTCTCTTCTTCATTCTTATTAATTACATCCTTTACTAAACTATTTTGGTTGGTGATAATCTTCTTCAAATAAGATTATTTTATATTCAAATTTACCAGATCTGTAATCTGAGAAATACAGCTGTATCCATACCTTCTTACATCTTGTTGGCTGTTCTCCCTCTTTGCTGATACCACATTCCTGCTTTAGCCTATCTGTTGTCTGTTTTGCCATAAGTCCCTGCCCTGTATGATCATAGGGAATGCACAGTGAACCATAGGATGTATATTGAATGCTGACTGTGGTAGAACTGCCTTGTATTTAATGGAAATTCCAATACAAATAGTTGTGCTTCTGTTTTTATAAATTTTAGTTTGTTGTGAAAATGTCTTTACCTTTTGAAGCTGCTGTTCCTTTAAGCATCAAGAAATAAGCATGAAGTGTTCCCAGGCTATTACTGTTATCCTAACAGAAATTCATAGGTTAATGGACACTGTAAAATCATTTTTTTTTTTTTTAATTCTTTATTTTTGTAGTGCGTAAGTTTGTAACAGTCGCTTGAGAGGTACCCCAAAGGCAATCCTCTGGCGCATTTCAAACAATAAGGCATAGAGGTACTTGTTAAGGCTAGCACATTTTTATACATAAAGATTATTACGTTGCGTAATATACAGTGTGTATTATCATTACTTAGTCTCTTACATAACATAAAATAGCTTTGTTGATAATGGGGGTAACAATCAGGCTGGGGCGAGGCAGTATGAAACTGGGGTAGTTAGGGTTAAACACTCTCTTCCTGGATTCTGGCTACACAGGGTTATGCGGTAAGTGTAGTGACAAGTGCGCTAAGCTAGATGACAATTCTGTATTTTTCTCGTGCTTGAGATAACTTACAGGTTGGGAAATGCCACAGTAGCTGTAACAAGTGCAATAGTGACAACCGATAGTGGTCAGAGATATGATGGTTTGTCGGCTGCACATTTTTAATATTTAAACGTTGGTTCTGATGGTATGCAGGGGAGTCGGCTAGCGTGGCGACAGGTTACATGCAGTGTGCAATGGGTAGTCTGAGTATTGTCTTGCAGGTTCTCCCTGCTGCTAGTGTATGCCATATCTAGGTGTCTCTACCTGGGCACCGTACGTGGAGATCGTCCAGTGGAGGGTGTCTAGAGGCTTGTAGTCTGCCAAGTGGGTTAGTGTCCCCTGTGACCCTGGGGTGGGGGGGTGCGGGTGTGGGGACCAAGTGATATACCTGCTCCCTGTGTCCTGGTCTCTGTCGGTGGGCTACGTGGGTGCGGAGGTTAATGTAGCTCAGTGGGCTTTTCGCTCGGGTTTGGGAGCGCGATAGTGTCCCGAGGTCGGTCCCTTCAAGGCCTATCATGGGATGTCTAGGGCATGGGATGTGAGAGCATATCAGACAATCAAAACTGAAAATAGAAATGCTAATAATAATAATAAAAACTATGCAAACAAAAAATACAGGAAAAAACGGCCTCCTCAGGAGATCATTGGTATACAAGACCGTTCAGCCGGGTTGTCAGTCCTGTAGTTTCAGTCCTGCAATGAGGAAGAACGTCCCGGTGCGGGTGCTGGGCCCTCACGTGGTGTAAAATCATTTTTGACACCTTAAAACACATAAAATGAAAATCTGTGAGAGAAAACATTGGTACAGCTTTTTTACTCTTGTTGTTATACACACTAATTCTGTTGCATGTGCAAGAGTAAAAACAAGGGTTTCTACAAGATCCCAAGAGAATACAGGATCCTCCGTAGACAGTCTGCTGCTAAGACATCCCCGAAAGCAATAAGGCTCATTATTTTCGTAGTTATTCTCTTAAAGGTAGCAACACACTTTCCATCTGTATATGTTTTTAATTGAAACAGATTGTAATCATTCTATCACTGTTATTCCTTGAGTGTTACAACTCTGCATGAAAATAGGTGTGGCGCTACCTTTAAAGACATAACTGTGACAATAGTGAGCCTTATTGCTTTCAGGCTTCATTCCGTGTGAGTGTCCCCAGAAACCTGTTTTTTTATTCACCTAGGAGTATTTCCCATCTGCACCATATACAGTTGCAAGAAAAAGTATGTGAACCCTTTGGAATGATAGGGATTTCTGCACAAATTGGTCATAAAATGTGATCTGATCATCATCTAAGTCACAACAATAGACAATCACAGTCTGCTTAAACTAATAACACACAAAGAATGAAATGTTGCCATGTTTTTATTGAACACACCATGTAAACATTCACAGTGCAGGTGGAAAAAGTATGTGAACCCTTGGATTTAATAACTGGTTGAACCTCCTTTGGCAGCAATAATTTCAACCAAATGTTTCCTGTAGTTGCAGATCAGACGTGCACAACGGTCAGGAGTAATTCTTGACCATTCCTCTTTACAGAACTGTTTCAGTTCAGCAATATTCTTGGGATGTCTGGTGTGAATCACTTTCTTGAGGTCATGCCACAGCATCTCAATCGGGTTGAGGTCAGGACTCTGACTGGGCCACTTCAGAAGGCGTATTTTCTTCTGTTTAAGCCATTCTGTTGTTGATTTACTTCTATGCTTTGGGTCATTGTCCTGTTGCAACACCCATCTTCTGTTGAGCTTCAGCTGGTAGACAGATGGCCTTACGTTCTCCTGCAAAATGTCTTGATAAACTTGGGAATTAATTTTTCCTTCGATGATAGAAATGCGTCCAGGGCCTGACTCAGCAAAGCATCCCCAAACCATGATGCCCCACCACCATACTTCACAGTTGGGATGAGGTTTTGCTGTTGGTGTGCTGTGCCTTTTTTTCGCCACACATAGTGTTGTGTGTTTCTTCCAAACAACTCAATTTTGGTTTCATCTGTCCACACAATATTTTGTCAGTACTGCTGTGGAACATCCAGGTGCTCTTGTGCAAACTGTAAACGTGCAGCAATGTTTTGTTTGGACAGCAGTGGCTTCCTCTGTGGTCTCCTCCCATGAAATCCATTCTTGTTTAGTGTTTTACGTATTGTAGATTCGCTAACAGGGATGTTAGCATTTGCCAGTGACTTTTGTAAGTCTTTAGCTGACACTCTAGGATTCTTCATCATCTCATTGAGCAGTCTGCGCTGTGCTCTTGCAGTCATCTTTACAGGGTGGCCACTCCTAGGGAGAGTAGCAGCAGTGCTGAACTTTCTCCATGTATAGACAATTTGTCTTACCGTGGACTGATGAACAGCAAGGCTTTTGGAAATACTTCTATAACCCTTTCCAGCTTTATGCAAGTCAACAATTCTTAATCGTAGATCTTCTGAGAGCTCTTTTTTGTGCGAGGCATCATTCACATCAGGCAATGCTTCTTGTGAAAGGCAAACCAAGAACTGGTGTGTGTTTTTTTTATAGGGCAGGGCAGCTGTAACCAACACCTCCAATCTCATCTCATTGATTGTACTCCAGTTGGCTGACATCTCACTCCAATTAGCTCTTGGAGATGTCATTAGTCTAGGGGTTCACATACTTTTTCCACCTGCACTGTGAATGTTTACATGGTGTGTTCAATAAAAACATGGCAACATTTCATTCTTTGTGTGTTATTAGTTTAAGCAGACTGTGATTGTCTATTGTTGTGACTCAGATGATGATCAGATCACATTTTATGACCAATTTGTGCAGAAATCCATTTTCATTCCAAAGGGTTCACATATTTTTTCTTGCAACTGTATTGTTTTTGTTTGTTTTTTCTCATATGCTGACTACTCATTAACTACTTTTACAAGGGGTTAAGATAACCCTGTTTCTATAGTGCTCCCACAATTTTATAGGTTTTTCACTTTTTTTTTTTTTTTTAATGGTGTGGTTCATGGTAAGGAGAGTAAGGCAGAGAAAAGGCAGTGTTTACATTGCCTCTAGGGACACCTCCAAGTGGCCACTCCTCAGATGGCCACTGGAGGGGCTTCCTGGCTCAGGCCTGCACAGTAAGCAGCCTTGACGTTCAGCGTCCCCACGCTCTGCATGGAGACGCTGAATTTTGCTCATAGATGCATTGATTCCTGACTGGCCAAAACGGCATTTGGCCACACCCCAAAAATTGACTAAACACCTGCCATTTCAATGATGTCACAAAGGGGCCAGAGCCAGCGCTGGAAATAAGATGAGTTTTAAGCTTTTTTTTAGGGGTCAAGTCACCTAAATGATGGGCTGAATACTATATATAGTGATGTCCAGAACGGTTCGCCACGGACTCATCATTGAGTAAACTTTGACCCTGTACCTCACAGTCAGCAGACACATTCCAGCCAATCAGCAGCAGACCCTCCCTCCCAGACCCTCCCACCTCCTGGACAGCATCCATTTTACAGTCATTGTGAAGCTGCATTCTTAGTGAGCTGTCCAGGAGGTGGGAGGGTCTGCTGCTGATTGGCTGCAATGTGTCTGCTGACTGTGAGGTACAGGGTCAAAGTTTACTCAATGATGAGTCCGCGGCGAACCGTTCATGGCGAACCGTTCGGGACATCACTATATATGTTTGTGTTCCTGCCTCTATAGTGATCCTTTAACATAACACGTGTGCTCAGAGCTGAACTGTTCAGATCTATATATATTTAAAGCGCTTTTACACACTAATATTTTCGTGTATTTTATAAGTTTGATTGCAGTTATGCATGCTAACATTTATCTGTCTGAAAACATGGTTTTATGTTAGCTTTTCTGCATTTTTTTCTGATTGCCTCAGTACTTGTCTGCTCCATATCACAGTTGTTTGGTTTTGGCAAATAGTTGTTTAATTAAATCTGCCAGATGCCTTTTACGAAAACAGCATAATTATTAACATTTCATTATCCGTATTTCTACCTGATGTCAAGCACTTTTAAGACTGGAAAAATGGTTTGCCAATACTACAGCTTCTTGTTGGAAATCAGGTTTTGATAAATATTTGTCGAATTAAAGGGACACTAAGAACTTTAACAACTGTATTTTGTTGAAGTTGTTATAATGCCTGTAGTTCTGTCTTCCACTCCTACCCCTAAAAACCTTTAGTTCGCTAATTAGTGTGCTTTGTAGCACTGCTTCAAACCAAGCCTCCAAGCCCTCTGGGTATGAGAGCAGTTTATTTTTTCTTCCTGGTTCTCATACCCTAACATACTGTGACATCGTGCAGTGCCATCACTGTCAGCTGTAGAGAATCATTGTATTCAACGATTTTCTATGGCAGGATTTAGGCTGCAAGCAGTACGCATGCGTTTAAGGGCCCCAGTACTCTTGTTTGAGGAGCACTGGATTGGCTTGGTAATCTTAGAGGCACGTCTTCAGGATGGCGTAACCCAATGAGAATGTTGTGGCAGTGCCGAGTGAGACTTGCTGCTTGAGAAAAGGTGAGCAGTTTTTTTTTTTTTTTTTAATGCAGGGAGGGCGACCTAATTGATTAGGGGCATCAGGACTGTAGCATTGGGAATACAGATTTGTGTGTGTGTGTGTGTGTGTATATATATATATATTTATGTGTGTGTGTGTGTGTATATATATGTATGTATGTATTTTTTTTTTTTATCACTACAGTGTTCCTTTAGGTGTTGCATCTGTTGTTGAAAGTAATGCATTTTTACAGAGCCAGTGGTAACATTAATATGCTGTGATACCTTGGGTGGTGATGATCTGTCATCATAGTTCAGTTCTGAATAGTTTTTACTTTTTTCTGACTAGGTATTTCCTTCATTCCCCTATCTATCAAGAGTTGTTGGGCATCCCCAGGGAAACTTATCATAGTTCATGAATTCCTTTTGTATAATCAAACTCCTCCCTCTTCTGATGATGCTTTGAATGATATTTAGGGCAGGATTGTTCACTGTTTATGCACTGTAAGAGTCCATAGTAGATGGTATTTGTAAATAATTAGCTTAATGTTTTTAATAAATACATTTTGCTTACCTAGAACGTCTGTAGTCTTAAAAAATTAGAAAACGGTTATATTGCTGCTAACTCCTTCTCAGTTTACTTTCAATCCTCAATGCACATTTCAAAACCTTTTTTTTATTTAGCAAATCCTGCGTGATCATATTTCCCAATGTAAATTCAGTCATGATCATTTCAGTAGTGATACTAATGACTGCTTTTAAATCCTTATCTCCTGTGCACAGTTAACGGACAACCAAGGCCTCTAGAATCCAGCCAAGTAAAGTACCTCCGCCGAGAGCTGATAGAACTTCGTAATAAGGTTAATCGGTTACTGGATTGCTTAGAGCCACCTGCTGAGCCTGGGATCCCCACCAGCCTACCCGAGAGTGGTAGGTTCACTTCTACCCAGTGTTTATTCTATTGTGAGGTTAAATGTTTTCTGGGCCTGCAAACCATGGAAACTGTTTTGTCATTAATGTGATGCCTAATATAAAATGTTTGCTTGTTGTCTAAAACAGATGCGGTAGATAGAGAAGAGAAACCTGCAGCTCATGACTCCTCCATTAAGCCATCTACCCAAGTCATGGCTGCTAGTATGTCTGCTTTTGATCCGCTGAAGAACCCAGATGAAATCAATAAAAATGTCATGTCGGCTTTTGGACTTTCTGAGGACCAAGTTACCGGTAAGTGTGGAAATGCAGAGAATGACATCACTATAAGGCAGTTCACTGTACTTTTTCTCTGCTTAAGCTGTTCCCATATCAAGATCTTTCTCAAATAGCACCCACATACTAATTTTTAAGAAATATAGTTGCTATGCATTTTCTATTCATTATCTCTATGAATCACTTTCAAAATATTTTTGCCTCCTCCCCAAATCAGCATAGAAACAGAAATGGAAGGAGAGAATCTTAGGGCAGTGAAAGCATGTGGGTGTGTGTAAATTGTGTAATTTAATTACAGAAGATTTAGTTTGTGCTATTTGCATTTTGTGGCATTTCTAGCGTATCATTGGTCTTATTGTTTAATAAGCATTATTTATTTTTACTGACATGCTAGTCAGATTATGGGTGTTTTCATCCTATCTATCTCTCTCTCTATGTATAAATGTATGATGTTTACTTCTGATGTCTTCTTAGGGCCTCCCAGTGCTCCTGTTGAGGAACGTTCCAGTACACCTGATAGCATTGCCTCTTCATCTTCTGCCCATCCTCCTGGGGTCCAGCCTCAGCAACAACCTTATCCAGGTGCCCAGCAGCAAGCAGGTCAGATTGAAGGTCAGGAGCATAACTTATATTCATTCCAGAACAATATTGCATGTTCAGAGGCTTGGGCTTTGCTAGCCATTCTTGCTGGTACCTGTGTTCATTGCAAAGATTTTATCCGCCAGGAGCCCACATTAATGGTACAAAGTAGAGGTCTATGGAAGAGCCTGCTAGGAAGTCCCAAATCGTGAAGATGGATGCTGAGTCTATTTGTGAACATTCGTTTAAACACAGCTTAGTTCAGTTTATTCCCCCCCATCCCTTATTAATTGTGTGCATTGATCAGTCTGCAAGTGTTTTTTCACATACAAAATACTATAGACAGATGTCTATAATAAGTTATTTATTTAAGCCTGATCTTGAAGGAATAGTCTCCCTGTCAGAGAGTGAAAGGATGCCTATAGCATAATATTTAACATAACCTGTTGCTATCACAGTCACCTGCTGCTCTTTAGAACACTGTAAATCAGACATTAAAGGGATCCTATAGTCCCCAAACAACTTTAGCTTAATGGAGCTGTTTTTGTGTATGTCATAAGTCCCAAGTCTCACTGCTCAATTCTCTGCAATCTAGGAGTTAAATTACTTTTGTCTTTGTTTATGCAGCCCTAACCACACCTCCCCTGTCTGTGACTCACCCAGCCTGCAGAAATTTTTTTCATTTTCAATCAGATGTTAATCTGCTTTAGAAGTTTTTATCTCCTGCTCTGTATATTGAACTTTAATCACACACAGGAGGCTTCTTCAGGGTCTATGGAGCTATTAACAGAGCAGGGGATAAGAAATTCTAGATTGAACAGTGTAAACATTAGATCTCACTTTACGGGAAATTTTTAGGAAGGCTGTGCAACTCCTATGATATGCATGGAGATTCGACTAGCGCTGAATAAACATGGCAGGAAATGGAGTATTGAGGCTGCAGACACATGATCTATATACCAAAACAGCTTTATTGAGCTAAAGTTATCTTAGTGGCCAGTGTTCCTTTAACTCGTAATAAAAAGAATGTATGTGCGTGATAACAGCAGAGCTCATTCGCATCTCTATAACATTTATCCATATGATCATACATGCAGTGCATTACCACATCAATAAGTAGCTTCTTATACACTATTGTAGGATTTCAGCTGTACATTGCTATGCCTTATTATAAAAGAGTAAACTTATATGTTTGTGCCTTTAGCTATCCTACTACTAATATCAAAGTGGCGGAAGTGTGCTTATTGTGACCCATAGAGGGAAAAAGACATGGTGTTGGTGAACAAAAAAAATGTCAGAGGTTGCAATCTTTTAAACTCTCAATGGCTATTTCAGAAGTGGAAAATAGTGCTCTCTCTTCCTAAGTGTATTTGGCTTCATCACCTGTTCAGCGCTTGCTTGGCATCTGTGGCTCTCGTTACTTGCGTTCAAACCACATTTACATGTCCTTATTATAAGGTTTACCTGCTGTGCTATATTTTCTGAACATTTTTGACTTGCCTTTTTGATTCTTCACTTCATTTATTTAATGCTCTGTCCATTTTATTGTAATTAGAAATGTTGCATGCTTTTCCTATAGGGCTTCATGTACAATCACAGTTGACTATAAAATTAGAACACTGTCCTCCTATACTGTCTGTGGCAGACATTTTGTTTTGTTTTATTTAGATGAAATATTTGTCTTGTTTTTATGAACTCTGGATTGGGCTTCAGTGATGACATGTTAAGAGTAAGAGTTGAAGGGTTACTCCAACCATGATTACCAGTTCAATGATATGAAGTGGTCATGGTGGTAACAGTCTGGTTGTGCAATGTTTCTGCTTGAAACGCTTCCAGATACAAAGATATTTGCACTAGTGTGCTGGGGGCTAATTACATCCCCAGCACATGTAAATCTGGCAGCTGGAACAGCTGTTATGGACTGTGGAAAAATTTCAATTCTGTGCATATTTTACATCTTCAGTGCGCACGGCACGCTGGCAACAGACGTGATGAGTTTTTCCTTTTTTTTAAACTAGCTCTCTCCAATAGGACATTTTTAAGCCCAAAAAAGGGTTGGAGTAACCCCTTAAGAACTATGATGGGGTGAGGGATCAGTGTATTAATTTCTTAATTATTTATATTGCTTAAGAATCCTTTTTGTTAGATTTTCTGATTTAAAGAGCCTACTTCTGTTGTTACTCCAAGCACCATGACCACTTCATTTATTTGAAGGGGTCATGATGCGCTGTCTGAGTTTAACCACTGTTGCTGTGTAAGGTGCAACTGTACCTCCGGCCATGTCTTCCCCTCAGTCCGCCCTTCCTGACATAGTGATATAAGCCATGGCGGATTGGATTGCAGAAGAACTTTGCCTCGTTTCTGGATCAGTAAATTAATAAATTATGTTTTATTTTATTTATTCCCATTTTGGGATGTATAGGATGGGAACCGCAAGGTTTACTAACCAAAAAATACAAATTGATACATTCTAAATTTCCTAAATGGAATCCTGGCATCCATTAGCCAAATAAAAGTGATTAGCTGCATAACCTGTCTCCTGACGTCTACTTTGACCATCACATTTGGCAGCAGTCCTCATAAACGCATTAGTGCGTCATATGTTTGGCTTGTTGGAGCAGGTTACCTTTGTACAGTATGAAAACATTTAGATTTATGGTACAAAGCCTCTGATGTGTAACTTGAAAGCATTTTTTGTTTCTAGGCCAAATGTATCAGCAGTACCCACAGCAGCCAGCTGGGTATCCAGCGCCTCAAGGTCAAGGCCAGGGTCAGCCCCAACAACAATATGGAATGCAGTATCCTGGTAAGAAACAAGTGTCTATTCATTTTCTTTGAAATGTGTTCATTGTAACTGTGTAGGAAACTGACACCTTAAGACAACGTTTGATGCAACTGCATTATCCACTAGCTGTCTCTCTTGACATTATACATAATCCATAGCCTTATTAATGGGGGCTGAAGTATTTTTCAAAAAAGTGGTCTGCCAGTTCCTCTGCCTTTGCTGTCCAGCATTAAAGTGAAAATGTACATTATTAAAAATATTAAAATCAACATTGCTGTATCAGTAATATGTGTTTTCTTTTGTGCTTTAGGCTATAATCAGCAGACTGGACCTCAGCAAGCTCAGCAATTTCCAGCTTACAATCAGCAAGCTGCACAGGGTCCTTCCCCTCAATTTCCAGCTCAGCAACCACAGTTGCCCTCACAGCCAGCTCAGCAATACCAAGCGGGTTCCTACCCACCACAGACTTACACTACACAAGCCTCTCAGCCCGCTAATTACAATGTCCCTCCAGTTTCTCAGCCTGGCATGGCTCCAAGCCAACCAGGGGCATATAGACCAGGATTTACCCCACCTCCTGGCAGCACTGTAACTCCACCTCCAAGTGGGCCTAACCCATATGCACGTAATCGAGCCCCATTTGGTCAGGGTTATGCTCAACCAGGACCTGGATACCGATAAATATTTAAAACTGCATTGTGACCAAGGCAGAGGCTGCTAGATATATTTCCATCCCAAAAGACTATACAATATGATAGTTTAAGATTTAAATTGATGCTTCAGGATGCAGAAGGAAAGCTTCAGTGCATTGTTGCTTTTAAGTAAATAAATGTTGTGTAACGTTACTGGAAAATGAGACCAAATGATTATCTCCTGCTTTAGATTGCATCTGCTAGTTGAAATTCAAATCCAAAAACCAAATGACATATTTGACCTTCTAGCCGGCCTTGTCAAAATTCTGAAAGAATGCTAATTGGAAATCTACTTATTTGGCTTGTTTTTAATGATCTGATGTGTTGAGTTAGATCTGTTCCGAAGTATAAACTAGGTATTATGTACAAAATTCTAACATTCACATGAAAACGTAATAAAAGACTAAAAATCTGTTATTCTGTGTCACAATTATTGTAGAATGGTGTTGATTCAGCACTAACTGATTTTTAAAGGATACTTGTTAACTACAGAATACGTAAGAGGATTTTAGAACGGTTGCACAGTTTTCATGATGCCCTACAAACTTTTAGTTTGAACGTAAAATTCACTTGTTCAGCATTGAAGCATAGTCTTGTTACCGTAAACTGCAAAACCTATAGGTTATGATCTCATGAGATCTGTGCTTGTTTATGGTGGAGTTTATTGCACAACTGTTATTTCTTTATTTTCTACTTTGTCATGTTTTATAGTATGTTAATCCAGCTCAAGTGTTCAAGCATAGATTGTTTGAACATTTTACATTTTCCTTAATTCTTTTTTTGTCTGTGTGTATGGCTATTGCAAAACCACGATATTTTATTATTACTTTGTTTAACCACAGTGGACATCAGTCCTAATTATTTTGTAGATGCGTAGGTAAGTACAGTGTGCATGTAGAACATTTCAGGTTTAAGACTGTCACAAAAAATGCATACCCTATGTGTTTTGAGAAATGAACAGATATAATATAACAAGCATAACAAATAATACAAATAAAAAAGTAGGCTTTTCCACAGATTTCTACTAGTCATAACTCTGTAACCAGTGGAATTACAAATTCAACATTTTTACATCCAGTTTCCCTTTGAAAGGTATACCCCAATGGCGTTCAATGCTCTCTGAAGAATCTAATGGAGAAAAGGAGCCTTGTGACACAACTCATTCAGGTGCTGTTTACCATTCCTCAGAGTCTGATGATGACAACTCTCCCTCAAAAGGTTCCTAATTGAGCTGAGGTGGGAATGGAAAGCCAACCTCCAGAGGATTGAGGCCGAGATTGGTGAAGTCCAAAATAGAATGCAGGCAGTAGAGGAGGGGAAACCTCTATAGAGACACCCAGCTCCAGGAGACTAAGGCTTAGGTATAGGAGGTCAAAGGCCATATCGCCAACTGGAGACCTGTCACGAACATCGTAATATACACATATGGGGGAATATCAGAGGAAATGGGAGGGGAGGAATATCTCCCGTGTGTGAAGAGACTGATCACTTCTATGGGCCTCAGAGGGAGCTCTGAACTACTATATATTACATCAGCATTCTGTGTCCTCAAACCTAATGCCGCTTCTACGGGAGCAGCCAGGGACAGAATAGCTATTACCATCTATAGCTATTATTACAGAAAGATCCACCATAATAAATCACTCCAAAGACATGGGCGCAGTACACTTTGCGACCTTCCATTCTCTGTTTTCATGGAAAAGAGAAAGTTGGCTCTGTTTGCCAGCAGTCTATGTGACTAATTAAATACTACTGGGGGGACGGGGATTTCTTGTGATCCTCGTGGTGGAGAAACACTTTTACATCCACTGACGCAGGAGTGCTAATTTCTGCTTTGGGCTTGACGGCCTCACCAAGAACAGAAAATTCAGCACCAGAGGCACTGCCATCAAAGGCTGACATCCCTGGAGAAGGCAGCTTGAGACATGTTAAAGGACCGGGTAGTGCTACCATATGTAGGCTATTATTAAAGCCTTAGTATGCTGTTAGCACCAAGATGACTATAGATGGTTTTCTAGTCTACACTTTGGAATATATGTGCACCTATTATTTTACCCTTGACTTTACCATAGGCAAGGTTTGCTTTTTAGTTTCGTTTTTTTTTTATATGTAAAATGTTTGCATCTCTGTTACCACAGCCAGTATATTGATTTCTGACCTATAATTCTCAGATGTTGGTGAAGACGTGTATTAAGTGTATAAACATTAAAAAAATATAAATGGACTATATATATAGTCTCAAACATGAAATCATGTGCATGCACACTATACTTCACTATGTACCATCTAAAATACTTAGCGCTGTGACTCAAATCCTTCTCATAAATTGACCTTCAAAGTAGAAATTTTAGTGATCTTGAGTTTTACATTAGGATTAAAGTTATGTCACTAAAACTTGCTCCTATTGTTTCCTTTTCTCTTCCTCTATCCCAACCTGTTTTTATTCTCTTAATTTCTGATCTATTTCTCTTTAAAACATATGACAAAGTAGGGATGTATTTTTCGTATGCTTTGCAAATGATACAAAATGGTGTCGCTAAACTAACTCCACTTCCTTTGTCACAGAAAATTCTCCCACAATACTCATCTCACAACGCCTATCCTTCCTCCATTGCCTTGCGAAATCTTTATACGAATACTACATTTCTACTAATAATAAATGTGGGCATTTGTTTTTGGATGAATTTACACCAAGCATGTCAAACTCAGTGAACATTTTCATGGCCCGGCAAGCCGTGAGTTTGCCATGCTTACTAAAGCAGAGTAGGCATTTGATCGCCCCATTGCAGGTGCCTACTCTGCCAAATTTACCCGGCCGGAGAGGAGAGGTTCCTGGTGGCAGTAAGGGAGCTCAGTCTTCCTGCCTATCACTGCCCCCTCACGCGTGCCCTCTGTAGTGATGCCGGAATATGGCGTCACTAACTTGTGCTCCCGAGAGAAGTTCAGGGAGCAATAAATAAAATGTATGTATGTGTTGCTCAGTGTTGTGATGGCTGCGGCTGGACAGTGGAGGACCTGGAGGTGCACAGAGGCACGCAACGCCACGTCACATTCTGACGTGATGTCAACATGCTCCACCTTCACAGGTTTTCAAGGAGTTGCAGGAGGATCCGTTTGGCACAGGATGCGGATGGCCCCAATGGGGATATGCCAGAGGCTTGGCTCCGGAGTCACATACTAGCAGCGGCAATGTAAGTGGAGTCTGCTTGTTGGCTTATGTTTTATTTATTTTAACCAAGGGATTTAGTAGAGGAGGGGGGGGGACTGGGATTTAGTAGAAGGGGTGCTGTTTTTTTTTTTATACTGTACTTTTTAAAACCGACGTTTCTATGAAAATATAAGGTTGGTTTGTTTTTGCGGCCCACATAAATTTAAACCTTGTTTAGCCTTTGAGTTTGACATGCTTAATTTACACTATTCACCCAAAAGACGAATGAATACAAATTACAACAAATAAAACGAAAAACAAATTGCTCATGCAATTTGTTTGTTACAAGGAGGAAGCTACCATCTCCATTTAAAAGAAGCTGCTTACTTGGGGGACTAATCTTGTAGGGCACCCTGTCATCTCTTACTTAAAAAAGATGGATGTCCTTACAGGCATGTAATCTTGTGGAGACTGCCTTAAAAGAACACTGGAGGCAACCAGACCACTTCATGTCAATACAGTTTTGAAGTTTGAATTTGAGCCAAGTCTTTTCTTCCATAATGTACCTCTTCATATTAAGTGTACCCACACTTCTATATAATTTGGTTCAGGAGAAACCGGAGACTCATTTCACATCTAATATTCATATATGAAACATTTAACCTCTTAAATTTTATGCCGTCCCGCATTAAATGGGCTTTAAAGCCATTGCGGCGGCATAGAATGCCGTAACGTCTTAAGCCCCCAGGAGCTCGGCGGTACTCACCTCCGCCGCGATCCTCTTCGGGAGGACTGACTGACAGCCCAGGCAGCAGTCCCCCAGTAAATCTGGCCCCCTATAGGTGGCTGTGGATCTGCCAGCAGGGGGACTGTCTGAAATGTCAGACAGTCCCCCTACTGA